CAGGAGCGAGCGCGCGCAGCCTCGGCCCCGCATCCTTGTCCCGCGCGTCCCGCCGCGCCGTGGCATGGCCTGTCTGATGGCCGCCTTCTCGGTCGGCACCGCCATGGTGAGTGCGCCGCCTCGGCCGGGCTGGGTTTCTTTCCGAGGAGAGCAGGGGCGCAGAAAGACCCGCGCGCCGCGGTCCGCACCGCCGCGTCCTGCCCTGGGGTGCTGGCTCCGGAGGTGCCCGGCTCCGAGAGCCCCCCGCCCCCTCGGGTCCTCCCTGCCCCGGCCGGGGACGCCGAGCGGCCGGGAGCGGGACCCGGGGCGGCGAGCGGCCCCACAAGTGGACAGATGCGCGGCCTCGAGAGGGGCGTGGGCCTCGGGGACGGAGCGCGCCGGGAGCGGCCGCCGCCGGGCCCCAGGGGGGGCTCCGATCCCCCACCCGTGATGCGGGCGCTCGGGGAGCGGGGCTTCTGCACCCCAGGAAGCGCCGCGCACATTGGGAACAAAAGGGAGAACTGCTCCCGGAGCGGAGTCTGCGCTGGTCCTGCGCTCCCCGGGGACAAGAGGGGGCGGCGGAGTCCCTGGGGCCGGGGGAGGGCGAGCCGGAGCCCCGCGCGGCCTTCTTCGCCAGGGTGGGCACAGGGGCGCGCGCCTCGCCCTGGGGGTGGCCAGGATCCCAGCTCAGAATGGAGAGGACCCGCTGCGGGCGACTCCAGGGCTGTAGACACAGTCAGCAGCGCAAGTGCTGTTCTGAGCTGGCCAGGCATCGCGGCTGGTGCGTTTACTCTCACCCAGGAAAAACGAAAAACAAAGTAACCATCAGCCGCCCGCGCACCCACCTCGCGGCTCCTGGCGCCCTGCGGGTCTGCCCCTAGCACTGCCACACTATGTTTAGGTGGGCGCCCGCGCTAGACGTCAGGCCACCCGAGTGTTTTCAAACGGCGGGTCCTCCGTGTCCCACCCTGGAGCATCCCTTCGCTCCCGTCTCTCTGTGTGTTACTATCCTGCCGGCTCGTTCCCAAACGCCTTCAGCCCACAGTGCAGAGCACGCGCTTCCCCTTTATTTCATTTTTAGCATCCTGTATTTGAAGTCAGCAGGGCTCAGCAGGATTTGACCGACAGTTACCTCTTGCCTTGAGCTCAGGAGGAAAAAAAAAGTAACCTGCTTTGTGCGCATGCCTTCTCTGACGACTGCGTCCTATGATTCCAAGCAGGTTACTGTAGAACATACCAGCCGCGCCAGCTCATTATATAATGATTCCGTGTAAACCGAGAGAATGGGGCGAAGGCGGTCGGTGGGGGGTGGGGCGAGCCGGCTGGGGACCCCACCACCACCACCTCCCATTTCTGGGCTTGCTCCCTGGCTTCCTACATACAAGAAGCAATGAAAAATAATCGGAAAAGCCAGTCCCCACTTGATGATATTTGCTTTTATCTAGTTCAGTGTTTGGGTAACACTTGAAGAAGTCTTCTCTTCACACTCTTGTGTTTGCTTGGGATTTCTGCGTTGTGCTGGCAATGGAGAATTAGATTATCAGTGTCTTTTGCAGGTAGAGGAGGTCTTGAGAGCCCAGGGTAACCCTCAGGCTGCAGAGGTGGCTGGTAGGTGTGGAAGAGCGAGTCAGATTGCTTTTAAGATACAGATCCTTTGTACTCTTTCTTTAATGTTATGTTATGGTTTCATACAGCCGGGACTCCTGTGTCGCCTTCTCCCTTGGAGATGCTAATTGGCTAGGTTTTTTTTTTCAGGGAAACTTGTTTTGCTTGAGAATCACTTTTTTCCTGAAAACTTAGTTGTTGTTGTTTTTTAATTTGGGAGTGTCTGTCCTTCTATGGGCATGCCACCCAAATGTTCTGCTGCTCAAGATCCGCAGGGTCAGCCTAGCTGCAGCAACCATAGGTGATCAGTAGGAAATAGTGGGTGCTATAGGAATAAAGAAAAACAGGTTTTAAAAAATTTTTTAAAAAAATTCTATGCAAGAGCCCTTGACAGATAGCCAGGGCCCCTGGCCTTGTTTCTCCATCTTTCCCTGTCCTGGGGTCCCACTGGCGCTGATCTGAGAGTGACCTGGGCATTCAGAACAGCAGCTGGGGCCCCAGGGCAGGGACGTGTTCCCGGTGGCTACTCAAGCGCAGGCTACCCTTGGGACTCAGTGTGACATTTTTGTCACTTTGCTGTAAACAGTTGCCTCGAAGATTACGGGCCCAGCACGTTTTCTTCAGATGAGGCCAGGGTGCCAGGGGGCCTGGCGTGGGTGGGCACCACAGCAGGCAGCGTGAAGCAGAAAGGAGAGGGAAGAGTCTCCTCCCTGTGATGCGGACAGAAAGTTTCCCGACCCTGTGTCCCAGCAAAGGGGTCTCGCAGTGGCCTGGTTCTGCTCACGGGTGTCAGGGGCCTCCCAGCTGTGCCGGCCTCCTTATGACCAGTGTTCCCGCTGAACTCCCCGCCACTGTGCCCCGCACCCAGGAGAACATGCTGGGGAGCAGGAGCCCCAACACGCAGGCTGGGGTGACCTGCTGTTCTCCACCATCCACAGCACGGGGCGCAACGGCTGTGCGTGGGGAGGGACCAAGGGCAGTGCTTGGGGACGATCAGGAAACAGGAGAGAGAGAGAACGGGAGGACTAGGTGTTTGCTGTATTTTTAATGAGCTCAGGAGGCGAAGGAAAAGCTAGCTGTAACCTACATTGCCGGCAGCCCGCGTCCGAGGATGTTTCCAGAGAGCTGGTCTACTTTGGAGTGACAGGTCACTGCCTCCTGTCACACATTTTTTGTGTGATTTTGTTAATTGGGTGAGGCCACTGGACGCCCTGGAGGAGGGCAGGATTGTGTGTGCTGCTGGGGTGGCCTTTGGGAGGGCGGGGCCAAGGGTCTCCGCGGTGTGCCGTGGACTTTTCTGGGGCGGATGGACCCAGGGGCACCCATGTGTGGCTCCAGAGAGCTAAGCAATGCTCTGGCCCTACTGGCTCGAGGCTTGTAGGGCTGGACCCCCACCCGGCCCTTCCCTAACCCAGGACTGGGGCAGGGCAGCCTCCAACATGGAGATGGTCACCTCCCTCCCCACCCACGCCCACCCGTTAGAGCGGGAGATGGCAGAGGCTAATCTGCACAGGCTGGATTCGACAGGCGTGCTGTGACCGCTGAATCAGTAGGCACTGTTGTTTACAGTAACCTAGCACGCACCGGCATGCTTATGAACGCCTTACGTTGTGAGCGCCTAACTCTGGCTTCTCGTCTCACTCCCAGAGCAGGTTAGTCACCCGCCGTGTGGCTGTGGTGCGTCCGCTTGTCTCCAACCCCGCTAGTGCTGGCAGGTCAGGGCCCCCGGGCCCCTGCGCACACGTGGCCTGGCTGAGCCCAGCCGCCACGTCCTTCGGCAGCCCAGGCTCTGCTCTGCACTGGTTGCGCCCTCTCTCCCCTGGCTCTTGCTTCACCCGTTGCGCTGGCCCCTTTCTCACCTGTGGCCTAATCTTGAACTTGAGTTTGCAGAGACAAGGATGCCTGTCCGGCTGCCAGGCTTTGTCTGGCGCTGTTTGTCCGTAAGAGTGTGTGCGGGAGTGACCAGATGGCCTGGGGGCGGGGGGAGAGGAAGCCCCCTTGTGACACATGTCCGGTCCTGGACATCTGCCCCCGTGGCTGGCTGGCTGGGCCCATGGCTGTTCATCCCAGGCTTCCTGTGGGTTTCCCGGGGTCTGGGTACCCGCAGGAAGTGCCTTTGGGGAGGGATGGGTGACCCACCACAGCTGGAACCTGAAGGGTGCAAGAGTTGCCAGACCACTCCCCATCCTCGCCCGCCTGAGCACCCAGGCCTGGAGGTTCTGGGTTGGAGCAAGCATGGCATTTTGGGGTCAGAGCTTTGCCTTTCTGCTTGCAAGGCACGGAGAGGGCTGGGATGGCCACAGGACCGGCCCGAGGTGACCGTCTTGCCACGCTGCTCCTTGACATCCCCGTTCCCAAAGCCGGGACCTGGTGCTTGGCAGACTATTTGAGGGTCCACACGGGCTCTAAACCTGTGGCCTCAAGGGGCAGGCAGGGTGGTCAGAGGGAGTGTCCTGAGGCCTGCTCAGATGCTGTGTTCCTGCCGTCACTAAGGTGCAGGGCGGTCTAGGACAGTGTCACGGGACCCTGGCAGCACATGGAGGACCCTGGAGCAGACGCAGAGGCTGCCTGCAGAGCTCCCTGCTGGGCTCCCCTGTCTCACGATCCCTGCAGCACAGACGCAGACCTTCCCTGGCTTGGTCCGGGACCTGTGAACCTGCTCGTGTCCGTCGGAAGCACTGTGCATGCTCGCGGCGCCCTGGCTCAGCAGGCTGAGCTGGAGTTTCCTTCCAACAGCGTGGTGCGTCCACACAGGCCGTGGGCAGAGACTACATTGTGCTTTCGTGAAGTCTTTCAGAGAGAGGAGGTGCCTTGCAAGGCACGTGTGTGTGTGTGTGTGTGTGTGTGTGTGTGTGTGTGTATCTTTCTCTTAAATCCCCAAAGACAGTTTCCATGTCTAAGAGATCCAGAATTCCCATGCCAACCTCTCCCACCCAGCCCACTTGTGTTTTAAGTATCTCGAGCCCCCAGGTTAGACACAGACCTTGGAACCCTCTAATAGCACGGTAGAACTACTTCCAGCTCTTTGCAAGCCACTTCAGTGCCCCGAGGGTGTGTGCTGATGTGTGGGGATGACCACAGAGGCTGCTGGGGTCTGTGGGGATTCTATGGACACTCTGTAGTCTGGTTTGGTTGTGGATTTTTGATAAATAGTAATGAGCTGGGCATGGTGGTGCACACCTGTCATCTCAGCACTCAGGAGGCTGAAGCAAGAGGATCACCATGAGTTGGAGGCCAGCCTGGGCTACACAGTGAGTTCAAGGCCAGCTTGGAATATACAGGGACACCTTTGTGTTAAAAAATAAAAAATTTTAAAAAGGGTAACAATAAATAGCAAGCAACACAAAAGAAATAGTTAAACCTACAAAGAACGGATGACAGCAGCAGCAGTTGCCCCCTAACCCTGAGCAGCCAGCGTGGCCGGGGCGGGTCAGACACGGTGAGGGACTGGCTGTCCGGGAGGCCGATGTTGCAGCCCTGGGAGGGTTGCAGAACGCCCTCACGGGCACTGTGGGATGTGCTCACTCAGTTCAGGAGACAGAAGAGTTCAGCATAAAATCCGCTCCCGTTACTGCTGTGTTTGGAGGTCCTGCAGCGTATTGATCGGCTCGGGGTTGCCAAGACATTAGCAAAGCGGAGCGCTCTCTCTGCACGAGCACTTCGGATTCTTGGCCTTCTGCGGAGTTTCTCTGACCCCCAGTGGAAGCTGTAAGAGCCAGTGCTGGGGCCCGGGTGTGGCTCCCTGGCAGAGCGCTTGCCAGGAGTGCACGAGGCCCTGGGTCCCCTCCCCAGCACTGTTTAAAAGAGAAAAATGCAAAGATCTGACCAGGCCCCAATGCTAAGCGCCCTTCTGATGCCACCAACTCAACCCTACGAGTGTTTTGATGTCTCGGGTTTGGGGATCGCTTGTGCTGCTCCCTTGCCTTGGAGCAGGTTCCTTAAACTTTCTGGCCTCCAATTTCCTGTTCTATGAAACTGAAAAAAATATGAGCTTTTCAGTGTCGTCCGTGCTGTTACAAAGCGCAGAGTTGTGAGTGACGGAAACTTTCAAAGTCCGGCGTGAAGACCAGCTCCGCGGTGCTGCAGCTCCTGAGAGCTTGTTATGAGATTACACAAGGAAGGCACTAAAACACTGCAATTTAAATAAAACTTTTACAGCCCTGCCTTGCTTAGGCGCTTCATGTGTCTTTATTGCGGGTTTTTTATGAGTGAACTGTAAATAACTTTTCACAGTGGTCAGTATTTTTCCATTGAGGTAGGTGATTCATTTGTTATGGTTTTGTGCTTAGATTTTACGATTTCAGAGGAAGGACTGTGGATCAGCGCCACATTTTATCTAAGCTTCTTTTTGGTAGAAGGAAGAGTGATGCTTAGCGATAACGGCTCCTGCAGGTAGCCACCTCTCCCCTGCCCCACAGCCAGGCTGGCAGTGTAAGGAGCACTGCTGTCCCTAATCGGTGACCGTGAGCCTAGCGACCAGTGTCTTGGTGTCCCTTTCCCGAGGACCCCGTAACATGTCCTGTTGCTTCCTCCTCGTCTTTCTAGAATGCCAGCAGTTACTCGGCCGCGATGACAGAGCCCAAGTCCGTGTGCGTCTCGGTCGACGAGGTCGTCTCCAGCGGCGTGGATGACGCAGAGACAGACCTGCTCAACGGGCATCTGAAGAAAGTGGACAACAATCTTACCGAGGCCCAGCGCTTTTCCTCCTTGCCCCGGAGGGCAGCCGTGAACATCGAGTTCAAGGACCTTTCCTACTCTGTTCCAGAAGGACCCTGGTGGAGGAAGAAAGGTAGGTAGGAGGCACGCTGTGGACGGTGCGGAAAACCCGGGTCTGGAAGTTGGAGTCTGAGGTTCTCTTCCAGTGCCATTGACAATGTATTCAGTTGTCTTGTACCTGGCGCTTTCTCACCTGTGAGATGAACATTCACCGTGACTCTGTAAAATTCTGTGATAGGATTACAGGTTGCGTATCTCTTTTTGTAAACACTTGGACCAGAAGTGTGTCGGGACTTTGGATCTGTGCAGCTTTGGGAGTATGAGCATGTACACAGTGAGGTGTCTTGGGGTGAGATCCCAGGGTAAGCTTGACGATCATCTATGTGGCATGTACACCTCACAGGTAGACTAAGGATGATTTCATACAGCACACCTGTGTTTAGACTGGGACCTGGTACACCAGGCCAGGTATGGAAATTTCTACTTGGGCAGTCAGGTTGTTATGGTTTGTGTCTGTGTGTCCCCTCAAAGTCTCATGCGGTCATGGGGCAGGCTTTTAGAGTTTGATTGATCATGGGTGTGAGAGCTACACCCGCCCTGGGGTGGACAGTTTGCATATGTAAGGGAGGGGAAGAGGCTGCTTGGGGCCATTCCTCCCTTTTAGTGCCCCAGCAATGAGAAAAAAAGTAACCAAGACACAGGTTGTGTTAAAAAGTTGAGATTTTGGAGCACTTTGGGTTTAGATGCCCTGCCTGTGCAAAGAACCCATAGTAGCTGAGTGGCGTCCGTGTGCTGCTGCTTCCCATGCGCGCCTGGGGGTCCACCTCAGCAGGCAGTGTGGGCTTTGGTTCCTGTCAGTCTTTTAGGATAGAGCATTTCCGGCCACGCAGAGCAAAATGCAAGGCAGGGGCTGCTTCTCAAGTCTGCAGGGTTAAAAGGAGCCGGGCCCTGGCGTGACCTCTCTGAGAACTTTTTCTTCTAGTGTCTTGGTAGGAATCTTGGGCGGGTGGTGCTGGGGCACTGTGGAGAAAACCAGACTGTCATAAAGTGATCGGCGTAAATCAAAGGAGAAGGAATCCGGAGGCTGGAGCTCAGGAAGTCTGTGGAAAGCCTGTGCACAGTCCAGGACTCTGTCACCAGCTGCGGGGACGGAGGACTAGCACTTGAGTCTTTCAAAGTGAGGCACGCGCTTGCCTCCCTGGGGGCCGGGCCTTTCCCTGGCCAGATCTGCTGCCCCCTCGGAGCTTTTCTGCCCACTCACCCCCGCTGTGTGCACGCACAGGTCACCCACTTGCAAGGGAGCCCTCCGGGGAGCCAGATATCACCAAGGCAGCTCTGCTTTCCACAGAGTCACGGAAAGCAGCTTGGAGAGCCAAGAGGTGGAATGGTGTGGGTTTTTTTTTTTAAGGACTCAACTGTCCGATCTAGACTCAATCCTTCTTTCCTTTTGAAAACCAGCCGAGACGCTCTTCTCTTTTTCTGCTTTTATTTCTACCTCCCCCTCTTTCATTTCTGCATCTTCCCAATGCTGAGCTTGCTGGCACTGGCACGCGGGACTTGACTGACAGCACAGTGACAGTTCAGCAGGTGGACCGACTCCTGCGGCCTGGGAGTCGGGGGTGGTTGGGTCGGGTCTGAGTTTCCACAACCAGGAGCAGATTCTGTACCCTCCAGGCTGTAGTGTAGCACGGTCACCCGAGACAGGCATTTTCAGAGTGTGCCAGCTTGTTTTGTTAGGACAGAAGTTCTGTGCCACCCTGTCCAGCCCGTGGGAATTCCATGTAGGCACTGAGCCTTCCCCCTTTCGACTCGAAGGAAGATTGTAAAGAAAAATGCAACAGGAAACCAGGGGCCTTGTCATGGTTGGGCCTCCTTGTTTGTTTGTATAAATTGTGGCAAACCTGTGCAAGGCGTAGAGCACTCTGCCCATCTGCCACATGTGGCCTTACAGATGTCACCACAGGGGTCAGCATGCAGATGGATGTCCGCATGGTCTGCCATGCAGGAGACCCAGGCCACACGCGAAGCCCAGCACACGAGGTGCCGCCCAGCCTCTCGCAGGTGTCATCCCTTGGCCAGCTGAGTGTCTTGTCCAACCCGTGTTCAGGGACATCTGCTACCGGTCAGCCAGCAGGTGATGGCCCCGTCGTAAGGAAGGGCTGCAGCTGCCCTGCTCCGGGGCCTCTTGAGGGCTCAGCCAGGTGGCCCCGGGTAGACACTTGCCCTGTAGTAACCTCAGTGTGGAGAAGCAGGAAACGGGCCCTGCAGGACTTTCCCATGAGTCAGAGGTGTGGAGCCAGAGGGGATGATGGACAGGCTCCCCAGCCCAGGCTCAGGGTGGTTTCTGAGTGAGGTGTGACTGCGCACCCGACTTCTGCCGACTTACCTCCTCTTCGTCCCGGCCTGCCCCTGTGTGCCCGTCCCTCTCTATCCCCGGGGTCTACCCTTCAGAATCTAGCTGGGCAAGACTTCTGCCTGCTCCTCACTGAACCTAAGGGCTGGGACCAGTGCAGTGACTTCTCAATCCGCTCAACCTGTCACGGAGGCTGTGCCCAGCCTACCCAGCAGGGCCCTTCCTGGACACTCAGGTGTCCCAGGCAGTGACTGGAGGCCACAGCCAGGGAAGCCTTGTGTTTCCCCAGCCGGGCTCCTCCTCGTTGCACCCCTCACCAGCACCCTCATCAGTGGTGCTGTGTGTCTGGCGGGCTCCGGCCTTGGGCACCACCTTCCCCACTCAGAACCCCCAACAACAAAGTGTGTGTTAAACCTGGACCTATGCAGGCCTGGTGGTGCCGGCCTGTCGTCCCTGCACTCTGAAAGGCTGAGTCAGGAGGTTCTCAAGTCTGAGCCCGACTCGGGCAACTTAGCGAGATCATTTCAAAATAAATAATAAAAAGGGCAGAGGATGTCACTCAGTATGAAGGCACTGGCAAAACAATCGGCCGCAGGTGTCAGGCTGCCCTGGAGGCCTTCTCTGGGCCTAGGACACACTGCTGTCCTCCTGCCCACCCACAGGGCCCTGCCCTGCCCACACCTGCTTGTCCTCAGTCTGTCTCCTTCCCCTCCCCCGTGTGGCGTCCTCCTCTCCCGGTTCTGCCCCTCTGCTTGCTGGCACCATCCTGGCTCCTAGCCGGGTCTGGGTTTCAGGCTGAGAGGCCACATCCCAACGCCCTGTGCCCCTCTCTTTCCCCACGGTGGCAGTTTCAGATTGGGCAGCATCTCGGGGCTCCGGTGACCTTCAGTGCAGGTGACTTCTCGCGCGATGGCACCTGATTAGCTTTGCTGTCTTACCTGGCTGGTTGTTTTCAGCGTTTAAATCTCAGCCTGACGCACTGAGCTAACCCTAAGGGACGGTTGACATCATAGTGGTTCAAGGGAAGCCTCACCAAGAGGTCTGGGTGTGCAGAGCAACCCAGGAGCAGCGCAGGGGTCCAGGAGAGGAAGTGTGTTGCCCAAGGTCAGAGCCCAAACTGGGGCCCAGCTGTCCCTTCCTATTATGGAGACTCCAGGCCACACAGGAGCATCCAGGGCTGACTCCTCACGCAATTCCTCCTGAAATAAGGAGCACTGTGCCAAGCGGGGACTTGCGACTAGAACATTCTAAACTCTTCCCTGAACATTTTAAAGACAGCAGATAGAGAAAGGAGACTTCACTATCCTCAGAAGAAAGGATGAGAAATCAATAGCAGTATTTTTAAGAAGGAGGTACCGGGCCCTGTTTTTTCTTCAGTTCTGGGATTGAACCCAAGGCCTTTGCACTGAGCTATGTCTCCAGCCCTTTTATATTTTCTATTTTGAGACAGAATCATGCTAAGTTGCCCAGGTCAGGCTCTAACTGGCCGTCCTCCTGCCTGAGCCCTCAGAGTGCTGGAATGACAGGTGTGCAGCACCAGGGCCCGGCTCAGGCCCCAAATTGTTAACATCTTCTAGCTTGATGATGGCCCAGCTTTGAACATGGTGTTTAACAAAACATCTTGTATTTTCAATTGTAGTTACATTTTCACCGTATGATTAATGATGTCTTTGGAGGAAGAACTAGATCACATAATAGATTCCTAGTAGAGAACATAATTGTGAGAGGAGCGGCTCTCGGGAGGAGACGCACTCCCTGAGGACAGCTCCACCGGCTGCTGGTGCAGTAATTACCCTCCCTCAAGGAGGCCGCTCGTGGAGTGTTCGAGGTGACGGCACAGATGATTGGGAGCAATATTGACCTTGGTGCCGTCACACGCGTGGAAACAGTGGGCTCTGCGCTCCTCGCTTACCCCCAGCGGGGCTCTTGGGAGCAACACAGATTCCTATACGGTCGGCGCTGTCAGTGCCTGCCAGACCCTTGTCAAGAAGAGAACCCACAGGACGAAAGAAACCTTGGTGAAGATCACAGCGAGACTTTATTCGAGGTGCAGAGCCTGTTCACGCGGGGGCGGCTTTGTGTTAGGATGTGGTGGCTGTGATTAACAGACGGAGGACTGTTAGCCCCCCAACCCGCCCTCGAGGGCCTCCCATCAGTTTCCCTGCAGAGCTGACCGAGTCGGGCGGTTTCTCAGACTGCTAGGCCCAGGGGGCTGTTCAGGAGGGATTCTGGGGGTCTGGCCCCTGGAGCTGTGACGGGAGGTTGGAATCATCCGGAGGTCCCTGAGGGCATGGGAGGGAGGGAGACAAGACTACAACCAGGTCTGTAGGACTCCCGATCAGTCAAGTACCTTCGGGGAACCTCCTCTGGGTGCCACGTGCTGTCCCCCCAGCCCGGGAGCCAGTTCCGGAATTGGAACGCACCCCCTCGGGTCACTGAGTGACAGAGTTCAGGGGTGCAGCGCGTGCACCCGGGCCTGTTCCTCGCTCTTCTCCAGGTGGGGCAGCGGGTGGGACCACACCTCCTCCTTGGAAACCCAGAAGCCAGGAAGGAGTTAAACATTCCAGGAGGCTCCTAATCCTCGGGCCTGGTGTGCTTTAGCACTATAAAAATGCTTTGGGACACCCTTCTCAAATTAAAGTGTGCTTTCTCTTAATTTCCATAGCTACTTCAGGAGGCCTGTGCTTACAGGCTGGCTGAGCTGAGTGCAGTGTGTCATT